TACATTTGGATGTGTTTGAAAATTTCCATACTAACATGTTTTAGCTGACTTGCCAAGAAACGCAGTATTTGAGGAAAGCTAGAGCAAAGACCAAAGAAAAAGAGCAATAGTCAGCTATGATGCAGAGACTGAGCATCACCTCTACATTTCTGAAGAACTGTTTTCTGTGCATCAGACTGGCACTCTCTTCTATGCCCAGTCACTCCTCTCCATGGTTTATGTTTGGAGGTGTTCCAAATGGAGCTCTGTGGCACATTCTCAGCTATTTCTATCTCTAATTCCTTTGGTAAGATCTAAACCTCCTTAGACTATCAAAATCATTTGGTCTTCTCTTTCCAATCATATACATACGTTTTTAATATATTGAGGTACTTGGGGGCAACCACAGAGATCTCCCCCTTTCTGCCTACATACTGACACTTCTCTTGCTGCCAAATTCATTCAGGATGCCAGAGACCTAGGAAGAAATGATTCAAATCATCTCCTACAAGGAACTGGGCTCAGGTGATATACCTTGTTTGGCATGAAAGTGAAAATGGCATAATAGAATATTTTACTAACACGCTTACATCCCCGTTACGTTGAGCCCAACGGTCGGAGAAGAGCATCTTAAAGAGATAAGAAAAAATGATACCCACTACCCCTTTCTTTTATCATCATCATCACCATCCAATATGTGCCCAAGCAGGGTCTAAACCAACTTCATGATGAAGCCTTATACTTAGATTATGCTATATATTTAAATTATAAATTAACAAGGCTCAAGTCTTAACAACACTCCCTTTGGGATACAAAGTCACTGGATCCACAGTTATTAAAAGGTCTCTTATGTATAAAATCCTCTGAAAAAAGTAACACCATGCCTTGAAAATATTCTAAATAAAATGACAGAACAGAATGTTTACTGACGTCTTGATTATGGCATAGAGAGAGAACTTGAAAGCAGGAATGACTACAAGAAGAGGAACAGAGAACATCTTAGATGGAAAAGACAGAAAAACATCACAGAAAGAGGAGAGGCAGGTGTGGTAAAGACCAGACCCTCACAGTTTGGACTTCATTGTTCCGTGGCTTCATTTTGAATGTGCCAACATCATATTTCCATGGACAATAAAAATTGAAGCTATCATTGGTAACTTTTCAGGAAACAGGGAAAAAAAGAGCTAGAATCATTTCAAGATAGATGCTTTTCCACCTGTTTTCCTTTAAAAACGCACCCTCTTATGGAAGCTTTTAAAATCAACTGGGTAAGTTATTCACAATGACCAGAACCACCATTTCTTCCCAATACAAGGTCATGCAGCTGAATTCTAAGCGAGAAGTCATTTCCTGATCTACTTTTCTCCAACACTCCATCTCAATCAACCACCCTGAAGATATATACTGCGTATATAAAGCAAATTAGAAACTTTTGTGGAAACAACCCTTTACATTTAAGAAAACCAAGTAAAGAGAAAAAAGGTTAAAATGCACCCACAAGCAGTAATCTGTTGAAAAGGCAATGAATTGGTGTCTCCGTAATTCACAGAACTCATAGTTTGTTTTTGGATCTTATGAATTAAACTCCCTATTTGTGGTCATGTTATCACAGTTCTATTAGAGGCAAATGCCTTTGAATCTGAATGGTTTCAGGCATTTGTCTGAAGTAACTCACTCATGAGTAGGATTAAGGAAATGTACTTAATTTTCTCCAACCAAGAGCAAGCTTCCCTAGGGCACTGGAAGAGGGCTAATAAGAGGTTCATTTATTTCCCACACCTGTGATTTTGTTCCTAAGTGGTGTGAATGGCTATTGAGTTCAATATCAGGACTTCTCGTTGCCAAATTACTTAGCTCTCATTTCATCTAGAGGTGAATCAAGAAGGCATCCTCTGATGTTTATGATATTGCCTTCCACATAACACTTGGAGAGAAAACAGAGGGAATTATTTACCTAGTTGGGTGAGAAAGGTGGAAAAGTACCTTCTCGTTTTTTTTAATTAAAATACTTTGTGAGGCAATCCTAGGACAGACATTTCTTTACTTGCTATATCGCTCACATTTTTTCAGTTGCTGATAAGTGAATCATAATCCACAGTATCTCACATATTTTGGTGAGTAAGCAACGTAGACAAACACCTTTCTTGCTGCCCTTTTGAACACACACAAACATGGGTTGACTTTAATTGTTCATAGTTCTGCAACAACGAAACAGTCAGAACTGCCTGATGTTGACCATCAATTCTAGGTCCACATGAAGACTGAATGAGGCAAGAATCTAACCTGTTAATAATTGACAGATTTCCCAATGTCCCCTTGGAAAACCTGGAAGAAAATTAGGCAAACAGAGGAAGAAGGGGTCTTTCCCCATGACTGTCAACCACCATATGCAATGTACTAATTTCTTGCTGTTCATTTTTTACTGTGATCTGGATCCAGACAAAGTGACTCTGCATTATCCCTTGGTTATTAGAAGAGTCTAATTGCTTGGAGTTAACTACTTGCACCTAAGAAGTTTGTCACTACATATCTATATCTTTATCTACAGATATTTTTATAACATAGGAGGAAGTTGAGTCCCCCGGCAAAGAGCATCTTTTCTGTTGGTTGGTTGGTTGGTTTCTTTGAGGTTGGGGGAGGTGCTCACCAGAGACACACACTGCCCCTTCGGATCTGGCTGGCAGGTGGTGGCTTCTGGGCTCCACACCCTCTGCAAAGCGAGAGGTGGCTTGGTGCTCACAGTTGGTTGATTGGCAGGGCTCAGAGCATCTTTGCGTACAAGCTTTAGAGCACCTCCTGTAGTTTTGTCCCATTAACCTGAGCACAACAGTTTGACGAATTTGGTTATAGAGGCACAGTTGGCAGCTTCTAATTAAATAATTATACCTAAGCAGCTGCACGGAAGCTGCCATGCACCTTAGAAAGACAGTAGCCAGTTTTATTGATCCTAAGACAGAAGAAGAGTTAACACTTCGCTCTGGTTGTTACGTACAAAGGGCAAGTATATCATATGCAGTACATGTGCTGTGCAATACGAAGTTGCTGTACGTTTGTGCTAGCCTGTCCATGGAGTGACGGAGAGCAAACCTTGGCAACCTCTCAGCAACCCAGAAAAGAAAGAAGCGATTATATGATCAAAAAACAGAGTCTGTTGAGAGCAATCTAAAAGGGACATAGTATTATATGGATGAGTCTTTGATGAACACAGAAATGTCACTGAGCTAGTAGGCAAATGCGCTCAGGTTCTGGGTATCATTTAGATGAGCAAGTGATTAGAATCAAGTGTAGTCTTTTTGAGGGGCTATGGTTGGTAGGTTTTCTTTTATTTGACTAAAGCTTCTTAAGAGGCTGTTTTCAAATATTAGAAATTGGAGAACAAGGTAAATATCACATACCTAGATTTAAACTCTATGATGCATGTTTTCCCCAAAAAGTTAGAAGATATTTATTCTACAGAATCACAGATAATGTCACACTCCTTTGTAGAAAGCTAAAAAGCTAAAGCCTTATCTCTATACTAGTGGAAAATTCACCAGAAGGAAGAAAGCAGAATCTCGCAACTAAGTTCCAACATAGAGGAAGGTACAGATTACAGATAAAGGCCATAGGTAGGGATACTGGACCAAATAATGCTTGTTCCAACACATGAGAACGCTACTGAACTGCTGGCTGATTTCATTTTTCTACACAGGCTGTTCTTTCTACACAATCCATTTGTCTTCACTTCCAAAAACCAAACGTGTGATAACCCAGTAGAGAGCAACTCGGCTTCCCACAGGCCTTGTCACCAAGGTTCCCAGCACCATCTCCAAACGAATAAACACAACTGTAGGCAAAAACCAGTCCAGGAAATTCAGTCGTATCTTTATGTGTAAAGACATTTAGATATTTTAATCCTCAAAATTTATGGATTTGCCTTAAAATAAGAACAGAGAAAAACTGGAAACATATTTCTTATGGCATTCACTTCACCCAACTCCCAGACCTGTTGAAAATCAGCAGTTCATCAAGCCCTACACTTTACAGATTGATTGATTGTTCTCCTTTCAGAGATCAATGGCTTATCTTTAGAATAATGCCATTTCTTAAAATAAGGCATTCTGTACAGTCATTTAAACAAATGGACTGACCTCTAACAAACTCTTACTTTAAAGGCACAATTTAAAGGTACAATTGTTTCCTTTCTTTTTTCCCTTCTGCTTTCCTTTTATGTCAGTGACTGTATCACCTCAGCTATCTGAAGACGACTGCATGTGACTGACAATTCTCAAGGATTCATTCCTTTTAGATGACTCCTAAATGAAGCTCGACTTAATTAAGTCTGCACTGCAACTCACATCTCAGTACAAATTGCCAAGGAATCAAATCACAAAACTGTAAAGCCTAGAAAAGCAAATTTCAGACTTGGGGTCGGGGGGGAAGGGGGTCTTTCGTCAGTCTAGGCTGCCGTCTAGCCAAGATCGTGTCATTCAGTGCAACATCCATTTGTGTTTTCAACGCCCCCATGAAAGCCAGTCTTCAGCAACCAGCTTAAGAGACCCCAAAGTTAGATAAAAGAATAGAGAGCAGCACTTCAGCCACTCTGAGTCTATCAACCTCCTGTGGACCAACAGCTAAGTTCTAATGTTCTTATGTTCACAATTCAATATCTGACAGAGACACACACGCCTGTTTTCATTCCACATATGACCTATACCAATATCATTTGCATCTTGTGATGTTTGAGGCCTTTAAATATTCTGTGATTCTTTAAATATTTTTAAATAAATAAATATTTATATAAATATTATAAAATAAATATTTTATAAATATTCTTTAAATATTCTGTGACTGGAAAAACAAACGTCGTCTTAGGTAAGACATGAAAGCTGACTATAACCTCTAATCTTCTAGCTGTACCTCAAGGGTTAAAAAAAAGAACCAAAACAGTATTCCTTAGACATAGACTGAACATGCAGACACATATTTCTGTTAAGAGGATCCATACACATGAAAAAACAAAAAGAACCCGTGGTACTTACGATAGAAGACGTACTCGGTGTAACTTGACCAGACCTTGTCATCTGTGTATTGGTTGACGAAAGATGCTGTCACTGAGGAGTTACAAGCCACCATGTGGAATCCACATTCTGACAACATATCAAAAGCCCTTTCCAGATGCCTGAATTTGAGATAAAATCTGGAGGTGTATCTTTCTGGGGCTCTGTCAGGGTCTCTGCTCTCATTCAAAGTTTCTCCAAAGACCTCCTTTGCCAAGGAAATCCTTCCACAAACCAAAATCCGGGGAACTCTCCGAAACTTGGCATCTGCCTGCCCCTCTCTGCCCATGGTGCAGGACCCCCTGTATCCCACAGTAATAAAACCCCACTTGCGGTCAGCAGGGAGTAGCGAGGAAGGGGGGCATATTCTCGTGTCACTTCCTTGGGAGGCATCTTCAAAGTCACTATGGCAGAATTCATCTGGGCTTTGCTTGATTTCATCAGGGGTCAGGAGTTTGACCAAGTCTGGGAGCTGGAAGTACTCAGCTTCCCTTTTCAGTCTTCCCCTTTCTGGAAAGTGATCAGGCAGGACCACCTGCCTGTCCCTGAGATAGTCCAGAATATAACGGAACAAGAATCCATCTCTGTCAATGAAAAACCTTCCCTTGGAGTCCTTGGCTAGATCGTTAGCTGTGTCTCTCTTTGGGGAAAACATTTTCCACAGGAGGGAATGAGGGATGCTTATTAATGTGGAATGGCGAGTGAAATAAACTTGACCCCCAACATTCAGCTCCACAACCTCAGGGAAGGAGTTGGGAACCGCAGCCCCTTGTTCTCGAGGATAATAACGACTACAGTTTCCACTCAGAGCCATTGTCCCTTTCTTCTTCTTCTATTTTGATGTGAAGGTGCAGTTCAATGGAGTCAGAGCCTGATCTTTTGCACCAACTTGTAAGGGAGGGAGAGGATGCTAACTTGTTAAGAAAACGGCCTTCTCTTACCTAGTTTTTTCCCCAAGAAAGCAAAATTTCAAAGACTCCACAGGTGAAGTGATGCTGCAAAAGTAGTTTAAACCCTGGCAGGTGGTAAGCTATTACTTCATGGAATATAATCAACTCATCTGCATCCAATCTTCCCCCAAGCTCAGTAGGCAAGGCAGGCCAGGTCTCCAGTTACTGAGAGGTCTGTGTGAAGGAAAAGAGAGAAAATTATTTCCTCAATCCCAGCATGAGTCAGAAAAAAAGAGACCACTGGAGAGAGAAGAGGGAAGGAGAGAAGCAGGAAGGGAGGAAGGAAGGGAGGGAGGGAGGGAGGGAGGGAGGGAGGGAGAGATTATTTTACATAAGCAGCCCTGGAACTACTGATTTCACCCATTCTTCAACTAAATCGTAGCTTCTCGCAAGCTATTTTGTGTCTACATATTTATCCATATTCCTCTGTCTCCAGCATTTAGTATTAAAAACATTTCTATTTGATTTCTGCATTAAAAAGGAATATGCAATTTTCAACTTCTAAAAGGGTTTTTTTTTTTTTTTTCTGGCTGGACAGGAAAAGTAATAAGCCTCGAACTTACCTTAGTGAGTGCTGGAAACAGATCTTGCGCAGAAATACCCATTTGCAAAGCAGTCGGAATCCACAGAGTCTGGAGCTTGTCAAATCCCGAAGAGGTAAAGGACAGAGGTATCAATGAAGGGTGCCAGAGAGATGTGCTCTTAGAAAATAATCATATATATATGTGTGTGTGTATATATATTTAAAGATTTATATAAATGTACATTTGTGTATATATTCACTTCCAATCTCAAGTTAAAACAAGTCACAAAAAAGTTAAACCGTGACGAGAGGTTGGATTGAAGAAGCAAAGCAGAGAAAAATATTCGTCCAAAGCTTCTCCAGGAAAAAAAAAAAAATCAAACCTTTGGAAAGAATCCTTAAAACAGAAGAGAGTTGCAAGAGGTACTGGGACCTAGAAGCTTTTCAGAAAGCCCAGAAGCAGAAAGAAAGACAGATGTGCCCTGCTGGGGTCCCAGGTAGCCACCCCACCTGCTGGCAAGGGCAAGCGGGCTCCCATGTTCCCAGCCAAGTGGGAGCCGGTGGCCGCCGCAGAGACGAAATGACGGCGGGGGGCTCGGGCTCGGGCTTCTCCGGCGGCGGAGCTGGGTGGTTCCACAGTTCCTAGTGCAGTTCGGATGCTGTTGTTTCAGCAGTGCAGGCAAGAAACCATCCAGGGAAATGACTATTACATCATCTTAAAGGAATATGGATTGGAGAAAGCGGAGGCAGCTCCGAGTCACGTCCGCCTCGCTGACAGGTCGCCAAGACTGCACGAGGACGCCGCGCTCCGGCCGCGAGCACGCGACTCCTGGGCGCTCCGGGCTCGGGGCGGGGACGCAGCGCTGCGCAGCCACTCCCCCCCCCACCCCCACCGTCCTGTCCGGAAGTCTGGAGTTTCCAAGGGCCTTTGCTTTCCCCTTTCCTCCTGTCTTCAGACCTCCACAGCTACCACCATCCCCCAGAAACAAGCCCCCAACCCAGTGGTGAGAAGAACACAGAGATGTTTCATTAAAAAAAATCAACAAACATGCCCGTCGCACGTGCACTGAATTTCTGCGGAAGGGCAAATTGCCCCTCTAAAGTTTGTTTTTATAAAAATTAAAAAAAAAGGAAGGAAGGAAGGAAGGAAAGCACACCCAACGACCCCCAATATTCAAGCTACAAAGTAGTTATTTTTTCCAACCAAAGAGGATGAAACCATGTTCTCTCAGATGCCCTCACCTGTTTTTTCCCTTCTCCATCCCTCTGCCACCCTACCACAGGAAATAAATAAATAAATAAATAAATAATAAATACATACATGCTTAGGTACAGTCTCTCTGGAATTAATGATGCTCCTTCAAAAGAATCCACGAAGCACTGGTACCCTCAGAAAACCCAGGGTTTATATCAGTAAGTCATGAGCTTAGCTTCCATGTAAATTGTGACCTGCAACGTTTTTTCTGGGGCTGTTTCCATACAGAGCATCTCTTTGGATGTACCCCCGCCCCCTCCCATCTCATCCCAAGAGGGCTCTGGTGGAAGATTCGCCTGCAAAGAGACATTTTACTCCTGTCCCACAGGGTTCCCTTAAGTGCATCATTAGAGTTTCAGGAAGGCATTTCCAGGGCAACCTAATCCACTAACAAAGTGCTTCCAGTTGATCCTGCCAGTCAATAATGGCCCAGCCAACAGCTTACAGTAAGTCAGCCATTTCCCCTTTCAAACACCAACGTCTTAGGACTCACATTCCTAATGAGAATATAGTACTTCATCTATGAATAATATATGTGAGGCACACTCCATTCCAAACAATTGCTATTTTTAAAAAATGAAAGCCAAAACTGGAGAGGAAAGCATGAATTAGAGAGATTTTATGGGATACACGTGTTTATGGCCAACTCTTGCCCCAAGAATTAGCTTGAAGATAGACTCAGCGGTAGTATAAAATAATTTCTAATTTAACGCTCTTTTCTTTCACTAAGAACCGGATTACTGAACATATTCAGAGTGTTAGCTAACACTCCAACGCCTGATTATATTTGACTTTGTTTCTTTAACGAATGTATTAACCTGTTCTGCCCTCAATCATTGGGATTTTAATACTGGACCAATCAAAGATGTGTCTGTTATTTGATGCACTCATATCGCCATCTAGTGTTTTCAAACTATCAGTGCAATCTGTATCTGGCAACTTACCTGAGCCAAAAGTTAGATTTTTTTTTTCCTTTATTTTAAAGTTTTTATAGTGGTTTGAGTATTTCCAGAAATGTTCTGTTCACCAAGATGACAAAGTAAACATTTAGTTGCCATCTGGTTAAGGGAAAAAAATAAGTCTGAATCTATACCGATTAAGTACTGGTTTTGGTTGTAGTTAAGAGCAAATTATTTTGTCTAAGAGAGTAGGCCAGTACGCCATGACAATAGCTTTGGAGATTAGATATTAAAATATTTGGGGGGCAGTCTGACAGGAAGTGAAGAATGGGAGGAAGAAAAATCATAGTCTTTTAAAGATAAAAGGAACTTGTGAAATGGAATCACCATCTTGTCTTAAAGATACGGAAACTGAGTACCAGAGAGGGAAAGCACTTCCACAGGGTCACACAGCTGTAGAGTAGCAGGGTAGGGGTTAGACCACTGCCTATTCAGAATGATCAATGTCCTGTTTTTAACCTTATGGATTCTAGAATAGGGATGGAGAAGTGGCAAGCAAAGAAACGAAGAATTTCAAGATTATTACACATTTGAAATCAAAAGAACAAGTCATTTAAAAGAGCTTTTAGCATTAAGTTGAGTTGAAAGGCTAAAATATTTTTACCATTTAAAAGTAGAGTAATCTGAATTTCAAAAATGAGGAGCTCTGTTTATTTGTCTGGGTTCCCTAGGGTAGGCAACTTTTTTTTTTTTTTTTTTTTTTGCGGTACGCGGGCCTGTCCCGCTGCGGAGCACAGGCCCCGGACGCGCAGGCTCAGCCGCCATGGCTCACGCGCCCAGCCGCTCCGCGGCATGTGGGATCTTCCCGGACCGGGGCACGAGTCCGTGTCCGTTGCATCGGCAGGCGGACTCTCAACCCCTGCGCCACCAGGGAAGCCCAGGGTAGGCTATTTTTGAGACAAGTAGTTTTTAATGTTTTTGGAGAATGGACTGCTTGGAGAATCTTAGGAAATCTAGGAAATGAATACACACACATAAAAGTTCACATTCAGTGTCGGGGCAGAGCTTCTCAGAAAGGTCTGAGTAAAGAGAGGAACCAGGGAGATCACGTGGCCAGGGACTCATATTCCCAGCAATCCTCAAATTTTGACTATGAACTTTCTTTTTGAAATGAGATTACACACACAGAGACACATTCTGAGGATTGAAAAAAATAAAACATAAAACATTCACCACATGACCTTAACCTTGTGACCACACCACCTGAAATGCACTCTGAATTCGTATTTCTTAATATTTTTTAATGAACACTGTAACTATCCCAGGCTTTACACACTTGTATTGCTGTATGTTGTTTTGTGCTAAAAAAAAGTTCATTTATTATAATAAACTGTTAAAAATAAACAACTGTTTTGCCAGCCCTCTTTAGGCATATTTACTTTTTTAATCTACCTGGAGCCTCAAGAAATTGAGAGGTTCTGGACCTCTCATCTTTTGAGAGGTCAGGGGTTTTTGGGTCAACATTGGCCCTAAGCCTATTCATGTCGGGTTCTGTAGAGCACAGGTTAACATCTGATCCATACTCTTCCTTATTCCTTTAGTCTCTGGGATACAAAGGCTTGAGAAGTGGGCTTTGAGGAAACAAAGCAATACACCATATAGAGAGATTTAAATAGTGCTAGAGTAATCGAGTATGTCCCAGGGTGTCTCAGGAAGGCTGTCAGTAATCCCGGCTGTTTGGTGCCTGAACAAGAGGCAAGAAGCCAAGTCTAAGCAGTTAGTGTGTTCCTGTCCTTCGTGTCAGCAGATAACGCTGCTAGTGTGATTATTCTTTTCTGGCAGCTTTCCGCTGAAACACTGTGGGATGCCACACTCAGCCCGAAGGCTGAACATCCAGCAACAGATTTCTCTTAAGGGAAGAGCGAGGAAGAATGTTCCATCCTGTTCCTTGTAATATTCAAGCCCACAGCACATGAAGACACACCATGGATAATTTGTGGTATTGATAAAACGTGTCAGCTTCTGTTTCCTGTTCCCCACTTTCACACACCCCCAGAGCTGAATGTTGAAGAGTATATTCTCAAAAGGACAATTTTAATTTTCGAATAATGGGATCACTTCCCATAGCCTCACCCCCTAACACATCCTTAAGTTTCCTCTCCCGTCAAGCACTGATAGCTTTTATGCTGACTGCCTTTGATATAAGGGAGGGAATTGATCTCATAAACTTACTCATACTAAGATGCAGTGCACTCATTGTGTTACATGCCCCCAAGGACTCCTGAATTAGCACCATCATCTTAATAGCTACTGTTTATGGAGGGCCAGCCATAGTCATTACCTCTCTCCCTGACTGGTGGTGTAACAGCAGACAGGAGACTCAACGTCTCTGAGCCAGGGTAAAACGGAGAAAATGAGAAGACCTGCCTCCCAGGTGTGCTGGGCTGATAAAATACTATGATCTGCATGTTGGACCCCTAGCACGTTCCCTAGCTCTAGCTGAGTGCTTAATAAATGACAGCAGTATCCGTGATAGTGGTAGAAGCAGCCATATTTGTTGTTAGACTCAAGCCGAGGCACAAAGAAGTTACAGAAGATGCCCAAAGATTGAAATTCACTTCTACTTCCAAAATCATTCATCTTCCCACTGTGCAGTTTTAGGTAAAGATCATTGCTTGTTATAAATGTATTTCTTAATAATGGGGGGATTTCAGGCTTTGGTGAGGGGGATGGGTGACAGAATGGGGAACTGAGAATAATCAATACCACGATGGTTAAAAATAGAAATTCCACTATCTTTTGCCAGACAGGGTTGCATTCCTGGTACCCTTTCATCCATTCCACACAGATTTACTAAGTCCCTATGTTGTATGTAGCACAGTGCTAGGTACTTAAGATACAAAGCTGAACTCAGACACGAACACACTCACACTCAAAATCATAGCAATGGAAGACAAAGATTAAAAGGTTCTAGATCCTTGAGTACTGCCTCTTATTTGCAGAAAACGATGCCTGCTGCTGTATTCAGCTTTGGGTCCTACATAGTTCACAT